TTCCAGGGGTGCTACATGGAGGGCGAAAAAGCGAAGTGAAACGGTCAAAAACCTGCGAAGAAAGCCTTCATTCTCTGTGACTCAGAAAGCAATTTCGGACGAGTTTCCCTTGGGTGTCGTGAAAATTTGGGATCTCCCATATTTCTGATTTGATGCACATATTTCTTGAAATACCGATCGCTCACTTTTTGCCCACTTTTTTCTCCAATGGCAGACTTGGCTGGGAACTTGTCCCCAGAGAGTGTTCGGCCTCACGTTCCTCTCCTAGTCTAGAATCCGTTATACGGCTGCATTACAAGGGACACTGAATTATAAGTTCACGCGTACAGTACCCCCGAAAATTGCGCGTGAGAGTAATTGTGTTGGTTGATGTAAATGCACACAACAGGCTTCGGGACTACGTGGCTCATCTAGGTTCTTCGTGGGCTAATGCCGTTTGGACTCCAGAATTTCGGCACCGAGCTCATTTTTAAATTGCCTAAGTCACCAAATCCGCTAAAAACTTGTATATAGGGGTAGTTCAACATCCTGATTACGAATATGACACTCATTCTTGTCGCTGGCGCCAAGAGGACACTACGATTACCTCCTGGGCTCAGCCTTAGCAGAGCGCAGATAATCGTAGTGTCATCCATTAGCGCCAGCGACAAGAGTGAATGTCATATTCGTAATCAGGATGTTAAACTACCCCTATATACAAGTTTTTAGCGGATTTGGTGACTTAGGCAATTTAAAAATGAGCTCGGTGCCGAAATTTCTGGAGTCCAAACGGCATTAGCCCTTTGCGTGGGGTAGTGTAACCTGGCCGAGTGGCACGTACCTGCCGCGGTCGGGCGGGTCGCTACCCGGGAGGCAACCCCACCCCAGAGCTTCCTCCCTCCACCCCTGCGCGCATGCGCCTCCTCCACCCCTGCGCGCATAGCGCGCGTAAGAGAACGGGTCATTGTTGTTAAAATAGGGTACTTAAAGACATATGGCACGATAGTTCGGTACTCGGTCCAAAATGCTAGCAGGGTGCTATATAGTGGGGAAAATGGCGAAAAAACGAAGTAAAACGTTCAAAAACCTGCGAAGAAAAGCCTCTTTTTCCATGACTCAGAAAGTAATTTCGGACGAGTTTCCCGTAGGCATCGTGCCAATAACCGCTACGGTAGATACGGCTGCACGTATGTACTCATATATCCATGCAGCACCGCAGCCGCTTCATATCCCTTCGCTTCATATTTTACTTCGCAAATGAAGCAATACGAGCATCAGGTACGGTCGTCCATTTGTGGGCGGGCGGGCGTGGTGGGCGTTCGGATCGGTATGTTGCAGCATGATGGGACATTATAAGGTCCTTGAAAAAGGCGGATCGCAGTGCCTGCTCAGGGGCGCGGAATTGCATTCTGCCAGGCGTGTTAATCGTGCACGTCTACTCGTGCTCGTCTTTAGGATTTATCGTGCCAACTGCCTTTAAGCATGTACGTGAAAATCGCATAGGTAAAAACTCATGAATTCAATCAATTCAATCATTTGATTTCGGATTATTACAACTTGCTCAGTCGTAGGGCCCCATGTAGATCAGGGCACCTTCAGTCAGTCAATCTAGCTATCCTAAATCCCTTATTTTCGGAAGCACATCTTTGGCTACTGGGTAGCAGAGTAAGGCACAGTTGTTTTCAAGGGGTAGGGGACTTTTTTTTGTCAGTTTCTTCAGATGTCACCTAGATGAGACCTGTGAGCTCTTGTTGAGCTGCGACGTTGTAAGTTGAAGTTGTAAGGTCTTGCAGTTTATATGTTAGTTTGTTATTAACAAATATCGTATAACGTTTTCTGAAATGCCAAGCGAACAAAGTGATGCAATCGCGACGTTCCCTGTTTGCGTATTGGTTGCTTTTTAGGGTCGGCTATGCTGGCGATTTTGTACCACGGGCTATCATTCACTCACAGTTCCTGGAAGAGTCGATCTATGAGTCTGGCGACACTATTTCCGACCGCCCTCAAGCTTCACAACCAACTTTGTCTCGTATGGTGAAATTCTTCCGCAACATTTTCAACAGGTATTTTCCTTGTGGATTCCTTTTTCAGCAGACATTCCTGTCAAAAAGAGTTTTCTCAGTGTAAATAATTGACACGTATTCGTTTCAGCTACCTCTTAACGATGCCGCGTGAACGACGAGTGGTCATTGTTGAGAGCTTGCTCACACCCACACAATTCAGGGAAACCGTTTGTGAGGTAGTTTCGATTACAGATTTTTTTAGTTCGAAGATGTTCTTCGTTCTTCAACAGAATTGTCTAATTTCGTGTAAATGGGGTCAGCGCACTTTCTCACAGAAGAAGTTGGTCAGAATGGTCGTCGAAAGAGATAAACACCTTCTAGTGCGCCTTCGGCCGGTGATTACGAATCCGTCTGTCATATATGTGATGGGTTTTCTAAATAAGGTTACGAAGATTCTTCACAGGGAGTATAGTACCTGGAACGCGGTACCGTAGCCCATCAGTGTTGTGGTGCTCTCATGACAGCAATTCTATTGTACCTGATGCAGTTCGTCCCAGATTTGAAGCCACCTTACAAAGCAACCAAATTTTGTATTAGGTGACAGCATGTTCCCTTTGAAAAAGCTCAATACTCCAAGTTGTCTCTTTAACTTGAGAGATCCACAGCAGATATGAAAGGCAAGGTCGTAGTACCGTTAAAAGAGGGCGGGGGTCTCATTCCCACTGATGAGAAAGCTTTCTCTCCATTGTTTCCTGGCGGTAGTAGTTCAATGGTATACATAGGAATATCTGAGCGTACTTATCTTGTACTTGTTTGATGGCTTTTTTATTCCTTCAATATCAACATTTCTCAATTAAAAACAATTTCAGGCACTCCTTGAAGTTCTGAATGTTCCCAGTGTTCTTTTTATTCCTTCTCACCTCGCTGCAACATTTCCTTTCAACACAGAGTACGCACTCGTTGTCGATGTTGGCTATGTTGAAACCCTTGCAGTTCCGGTGAGTGATTTTCCTTGAAAGTGTTATCAACAAAATAGTCGTTACTTTGCAGTATGTTTCAAATTTCTTCGATTCACTAAATAGTAATTGACTAAAGACTAAATGTAAGCTCAACACTGAAGTTCTCCACTCCATTGACGCCATTTATTTTGCAGATTGCCGAAAGTGTAACGATGTTGTCTTGTTGGGAACTTTCGAATGTTGGTGCGATGAGATTGGAAGATCGCGTCCGGGAGCTGCTGAAGGTTCACGGACGCGTGGACAGTGGCGATGGTGTTCGTGAACTTAAGGAAGACGACTGGAAAATAATAGAGGTATGTTAGATGTCATGCATGTATCAAATTTCTTGTACTTCCTCTTGAAATAAACAGTAGTTAGTGTTGACTTCGCTTGGCGATGCAACCGCTTGCGGTGATTGGATTTATACTTTGAAACAGGGAATTACGAGCGTCGGTGACTCTAGGGAGAATGCTCGGTTGGTATCGGTCAACACCTGCCGTTGCTGACTTCACGTTTCGCTAGAACACGCGTTCTCCAAAAATGCCGTTTCCTTTATTCTCCTAATCCCCCAAATCTCTAACGACTTGAGTCGATCAATAGCCATCCACTGCTTTTCTGCACTTTCTGCAAAATGTCGCCGACTTTCCTGTTCTCATGTTTTCCCATTGCAAAAACATAAACGCTGCCTGAATGATGGGACCATGATTAATATTTTTTTCACGATGTCATATAAATCAGTTTGCGATCCCATTTAAGCGCGTTTCTTTCATTTTGGTACCACGACAGGGAAATGGTGCTCACTAAAGCTCAAACTGGGCCTAATATATGCGCCTGCGCTCTGCTGGGAAGGACATGTTCCTGTCAGCAAAGTTATGAATGCTGCTCCTTATAACCCTGTAAATGGAATGGATCGTTGAGATTTTCGCACATTGGTTCGTGATTTGCTGTGTTCCAGGATTCAAATATTCGTTCCGGATTCAAATATTGTGCGAAGACATATGCTCGTGCCGTTTTGTTATTTTTGCCTGTCCCTTTCGAACGTGGTCAGGGCTATCAGCAAATGCGCTGCAGAGCATGGTTTGCCTCCTGTAAAATCTGCGAAAGTACCTCTAGGAGCTGAGTTCCTCATAATTCCCGGATTCGTGCGGTTAGTTCTTTGATATTATTGTTTTTAGAGTGGACTTATACCTGTGTGCTTTCTTTTCAGAGAAGCTGCCTGTGAAGTTTTCTTTGAACGAAGCAATGAAGATCCATCCATAGCCCAAATGATTCACATGCTAGTTGAAAGAGTAAGTGTGGCTCCAACATTTTGTGCCTATATGAAGTTCCTATAGTTTTGTTCGCTGCGGATGAAGGGCATGCAGGCGCGATGGCGTGTGGCGCGGCGCCAACAATTCGCTCACATTAGTTGTGGCAAGTGGAGGCAAACGACGTGACTGCATCACATCCTTGTATAATCGTTTTCCGCGAATTGCTTGCCGCTTACCCACCCCTACAACCGGTGAGTACAAGAACGATGTAGGCGCCGCCGCTGAACTTCGGCGAGCGTAGCCGTCTGAAAGTCCCTTCATCCGCTAGCAACGATGTACATGTATGTTGTAACTCTGCTCAAACTCACTTTCTTCATTCGGAAAGAAGAACATCAGAAGACTCAAGTAGGAATGCCGATCTAGAAACTATTAAGACAATTGATCAAGAAAGACTCAGTAGAATGCGGACTAGAAACTATATAGACGCAATTGAAGCTTATTTTAATTCTTTTAGTGCCACTGGATCTTCCGCAAATTGATGTTCGAGAGCATTTTGCTTACAGGAGGCCCTACACTCATTCCTGGATTTCCTCAGTCGACTGAAGGTTTGCATGGTTGCCTTTTACTGCCTCCAAATCATCCATGGATGTATCACTTTGTCCATTGAGTTTACGATAATTGGCAACGATTTCCAATCGCGTTTGCTGTTGAAAATTCACTCGCGATACCAATTCTCAGAAATGTGTCTAATGAATAAGTCAGGAATCGGGAAGAACGAGTATTCTCCTTCAACTACCCTTGTTGGCTTGCTTGCTGTTCCTATGATGTGTATCCGAATCGTCGAGAACTCGACGGGTTGATCTTTCTTCTCGAAAGAAATATTCTAGCGAGATAATAAACTACCATCCGAGTTCCATAATTTTTGCGGAGTCCATGTGAAATAGTAGCTTTTGACTCAAATTCCCTTTTTGAAATGCTCGATTACTTAGGTAAACAGAGGAGCTGATCAAGATGAACAGATAGGCGGCTGAGGCAATTGTGACCCTAATGCCAACGAAAAATGAACGAAATCAAGCCACTTTCCAAAAGGTAAAAATCTCGACCGTGCTTCTAACGCAAGGAGAAAGGTTTTTTCCGCTCTCGGCCACTATCACATACACCCCTGTCATAGGTGCAACGCATTCCTTCCCGGAGAAATTTGGAGCTGTAGCGTATAAGAACAATTGGGAAAGTTTTTGAAACTTTCTCTAGCCCAATATAATTGTTTTTTGCCAGCAAAAAGTCTTGTAGAATTTGTTCGTTTTAAGGAAGAAATCGCCGATATCGCGAAGACCAGTCCAAGTAAAATGAAGCAATGCGAATCGATTCGTTTCTACAGATTCCCGAATCAGTCTACCGAATTGTATCTGGGATGGCTTGGAGGTGAGGTTGTGTCATTTTTGCAAGATGTTAAGCTAGAAAATAAGTGGCGCAGTTTTGTTAGTCCGTTTTGTGGGGTATAAGGCTTAGTGCGCGTATAATGCCGCACATCCGCCTGCAAACATGGTGCAGTCTCGTCGGGCAAGAAATGTGTATTAATTTTCGCTTATGGAATCGTCAGTTGTTTTAAGTCGGTTTCTTGTCATTACTTGCTGTGGTTTCATCTTCCATTGATTTCGAATAGCCGATAATCATATCGAATAAGAAGTGTTTGAAACCCATCACATGATCAGAATATACACGGGGGGGGGAGCAAGAAAAAGACACTTCGGCCGAGTCACATATCAGTAAGTCTTTCGCACCCAAACAGGGGACGTGGATACGAGTACCAGGGCAAAATATACCCAAGATGTTCCTCGATATCCAGGAGCAGGCGTCCATCGCCGATCACCTTCATGTACAACAAAATATGAAGCCATCTCCAATCGCAGCTTGACTGGAGAAGGCCTATGGAATCTCCGTCACCTCCAAACATGACTTGCCCGAAAACTTCTTGCATGGAGTCACCCATTGGACGCGCTACCTTGGAGGCGCTTCCTACACGTCGCCTACGTCCAGCGATATCATCGTCACCGCAGACGCCAAAGGCGCGGTTTGATGGTATGGACCAGAAGTTCCTGGGATAGGAAGACCGCTATTTTCTTCTTCGACCCCGGACTGAAAGTGAACGCTGACGGTTACATCGACCGACTCGAGGAGAATACCCTGCCTTCATGTCGTCGCCTGTACCATCTTGGAAACTTCTCTTGCTACACTATTGGGTTCCAGCATTTGGAATCGAAAAACTCTCGCCTACTTGGAATCGAAGGGCCTTGAGTAACTGAAGAAGACATCCAAGTATGTCACCTGACTCAAACCCCCTCGATTAACGAAGCGAAGGGACGCGAGCCGCTCAACAGGGAGGTCGCATCTGGCGGTAGAGAAATCAACGACGCTCGCTGAACCCAACTCACGGCTTGCGGTGGCAGGAATCTCTCGATGAGGCGCCGCTGCGTATAAAAGGCTGTGGCGGAGTATCGTGATAGTATACAATGCACTGCTGAATACGAGGGTGGGAATGTTCAATCAGAATTCAACATTGTATAACTTATATCGCCTGGAGAGTCGAGGAAGAAAAGTGTCTTTTTTTGCACACCCCCCCCCACCCACCTGTACAGAAGAAGACAAAGACGGCTGCTGCTATGTCTAGTAACTTTTGATATGCGTCTCTATGAACATGCAAAAAAGTTCGCCCTACCACCTGTGCTCCCGTTGCTCATCGAGTTGATCCTGCGGGCACCAGCGGACACCAGTAACGCCTCCCTTCGCCCCTGCAACGTGCAAGAGTTGCCCAATGGGTACTCGTAAGATGTTTCGAGGGACACGAATGAACCTTCACCACGTTCGGATTTGACGAAATAGAGACAGTTGGCTTACGCGCAAGCGGTCGAGTCAGGTGTATCGGCTTGACCTCGTGGAGTCCAATCGATATACCGCTCTGGTCAGACGGGTTCGGTCTTTCAATACGTATGGCCGAGTGCACCCACGCCACTGATCTTACGAACCCTTGGCAAATACCGCGGCGTGAACTCAGCGTCTCTGATCTTCGATCGTCTGCGGAGTGCGGAGCTCCGGATTCCCTCTCTCACTTGCGTGTAGCGGGAAACTCAGAGCATTGCCCTTTCGATGGCGCGTTGAATGACGATAACCGTTCGTCCTGCTTTCGTCGAGTCCAGGTCTACGCCAGGCCTTTTAAAGCAGGAATCGAAGAGGCGAGCAAGGAGCCGGAAATTCTTCTTCTTGTTCGCTACCCCCTCCATGTTCCTGAGAGTTCCCCGAGCCGCTTGCTTCCTCCCACTCAGTTCTGCTACCAAGTCGTTCATCATGTTGTTTTCCCGACCTACGTACACATAGCTAGAGCATATGCTTAGGTCGGGAATTGAAGCATAGCATAAATCCGCCCTATACCTCGGAAAAAAGTTATGCTTAGAATGTTTTCAGCATTTCAGGTACCTATCGGAGAGCGAGTTGAACAAGGATGTCAACATTCTTGGCGTTTCTCTTTATATTATTTACGCGCATGAAACAAAATTTTGGAGAACAAAAGCGAGATTTTCGAGATCTTCGGTCAAAATGCCATCAAAATGGTACTATTTCTGCATTAGCGCCGTTTATGAGAAGAATGCTATAGCTTTAGGGCCCTGTTTAGATACCGACCTGGGCAGAATGCTCTACCTGAGGCCACATTCCGGAGAGATTATGAAGTTTCAATGTTCTGGAAAGAACAGAAGAAGAACGAAGCGGTTGATGAATCTTCCATGGCCCAGCTTCGTCGAAAACTCACCATCCGGGAGAGAAGGCCGAATTATTCTGCTCCATGACAGCGCGCTCACGAGAAGGGTCAACTTCAGGAACTCCATTTTGATCTGCGCCACACATCGTACTTTCCGAACCGTGCGCGAGCACCCTGTCCAGGCGATTTTCGACAACAAAGCATCAACAAATTGGTTGAGAGAAGAGAGCAAGTCGTGAAGATGCATGTTGAATAACTCCTTGTAATAATCGTTGTAAAATATTAATACTTATGATGAGAAAGAACAGCCGATTGGAATCCTTGCTTAGCCTTGGAAAAGCAATAGCTCGACCCTTACATTTGTATCATAAACTCAGAAATCGTCCATTTAATCCTTGCAAGTTTCTCTTTTCTGTACTGTCATGTGAATGAAAGCATTTGCTGCAGGTAGTATGTTCGGTGCTTTACAAGATGCCGTGCGATTACGGTCGATATCAAGAGAGACATGGATGGAAGAGCGCATTCTACCCGACTGGACAGACTATGTTCAGCATGGAATTCCCTGCGGAAAGCCAGAACTTGATCGGTGACATAATAATAATTTTCAACGTATTGTGAGATTGACTGGTGGTATTGTGAGATTGATTTATCATCCTGTTATTAAATTATTAATTTGAAACTGAATGTATCCGCTTGAATGCTATAGCTTCGTGGAATAAATCTCTATTTTCAACTCCAAAATCAGTATAGCGTATCATTCGAATCAGCGTGTGAAGTTGTTCAGAGGACATCAAAGTGTTAAAGGATAAAAGGATAAAGTCTTCGCCGTTGATCAATCCCTTTGTGGGATGCGGCACGCATTCTACTTCCATTCAGAATCGTAGTGGCTTATTGAATGCGATGTGGCCTATACAATGACTTGCGGTGGCCAGCCGATGTACAAGTCAGTGTTTTATCCTCCCAGACGAATCTGGTACCAATTTACCGTCCCCGGAGGGTAGAAGGCTTGGTTGGCCTGGGCGGGTGTCGACCCGGGATTCGAACCCGGCGCCGCGCGAGTGGTAAGCGCGCCACTTGTCACTACACCACCTCCGCCTCAAACGTGTTACATTCGGAAGAATTTGTTCGATATGTGAATATGAGATTCAGCAAGGAAAGCTTAGTATTAATTGGGTGGTCGTGTCGCTATCGTGAAAGGCAGTTGGCACGATAAATCCCCAAAGACGAGTAGGACTAATACGACTAGCATGGCGGAACTCCGTACCCTGGACAAGCGCTACGTACCCGCCTTTTCCGAGGAGGGTACCCTTATAGCTCCCTATTGAGCAGAACATACCGACCCGGACGCTCCACCTCGCCCGCCCGCCTACCATTGGACGTATAGCATCACAGCACGAGGACGTGCCGTTGTGGACCGCCCGTGCCTACGTGTAATGTAGTGTAACGTAGAGCGACGTAGAACGTACTGCTGGCTTTTTGCCAGCAGTAAACGGTTCAATCGGTAGACTCGTCCAAAGCAGCGCCCGCCCAGCCATTCGCTCGTCCACTGCCGCAGTGCAGCGAAGAAATAAAGCCCCCATCTCGTGGTTTCCCCACCATTTCGCCCCGTTTTTTCACTATTTTTGCATTACTGGGCACCTTTGCTCTTTTCAAATTGTACATGAAATTATTGTACCAAAGCCTTTAACAGTGCAACTTTGCGTGCAAATACAGCCTCACTCACAGTGTCTTGTTAGCTGCGGATCCTGGGGCGCTTCAGAAGAGTTGAGCTTGGCGCGGCGTCAGCCTGTTCTCCACCAAATGTGGAAGCTGACAGGCGACCTCAACTGGTGTAGAACAGACTGGTGCTGCGTCAAACCTAGCTCCATTGAAACCCCAGCGTCCAGAGCGAGCGAGACTGTAGCTGGATTCGCCCTTTTCGTACCAGGAACGGTTTATCAAACAAAAGGTATTTTTCAGAGATGTCTAAGACTTCATTGTAATTAAAGCCGAATAAAGATCGCATGAGGCGAAGGTGGTGTAGTGGCAAGTGGCACGCTTAGTACGCACACGGTCCGAGTTCTTGGACGCTTCTGCCTAGGCCAACCAAGCCTCCTACCTCCGGGGACGGTAAATTGGTACCAGATTCGTCTGGGAGGATAAAACACTGACTTGTACATCGGCTGGCCCCGCAAGTCATTGTATAGGCCACATCGCATTCAATAAGCCACTACGATTCCCAAAGGAAGTGGGAACCGCGCCGCATCCCAGAAATCGGCTGCAAAGACTTTATCTTTTGAAAGTCGCATCAATTCGTTATCTTTGCAATGTCGTTCCAAAGAGAACAAGGCCGGTCGAACCAAAGCTTCTAAACTGCAACTCCTCCGAGGAGCTGGATGGTTCCAGTCACTGCTAGCAGACCAGTAGAAGTCACCGTCTACAGAAGCGTTCAAGAGTAAATTGAAGAAAATTGTTCTACTACCTTCATAGGCATTGAGGATTTTCGACAACTTGAGCCTGAAGGGTTTCCTATCTGACTGTACTGATGTTGTCTGGTTTGTGCTTTTCCCCATACCCTTTGCCTGTCTCACTTTGTAACACATTCAAACCATATTCCGATGTTCAATCTGCTGAGTACTTCTTTCGAACGTACAGTCCTCATCATTGCGGACCGGTGGGGCGTGTCAGTGCGGCTGCGTTTGGCGCGGTGCCAAAGTCGTTCTGCACCAGTTGTTGAAGCGGGCAAGTGACATTACTGTATTATATCCTTCGTATTACTCGTTTTCTACCACTTTTTGTCGCATACGCGTTTCAACAAAAAGGCTGAGAACGGCTTCAACAGTGTGCACACTCATACTGGCTGACACGCCCCACCGGTCCGTGATGAGGACTG